AATAATAATAATAATAATGAAGGTCATTGTTACTTATATATCAAGGCCTTTATTACTTTATTATCAAACAGGCCCACAGCCAACATACCCATCCGGACATACCATCAGTCCTTCAAATTAAGGGTACTACTTGATGGTAACTGATATTTTTTCCACCAACTGCAGACAAAAGTGTAAATCTTTTGATGAGAGTTGCCTTTTGGAATATATCCGAGCCCAGACAATAATAGAATTCATAGTAGTTCGCAGCCGCACTGCTAATATTAGAACAGACAGTTGTTTGGGTTTCTCTCCCGGGTCAAGCTTTTAAATATAATCAAACCTGTTTCCGAAAGGGCTTCAGACAGAGGAGCGGGGTGTTGCATTTCATTGAATGAAACACACACACGCACGGCTCTCCGCTCACTGACGCACAGGCTGAACTCCCTCAGAAGTCCTTGCGCGACCTCTTCAGCGGAACTCTGGTTACAGCTCTCCGGAGCAAAGTGTCTGCGGTGTGAATCAGACACCAGGGAGTTAATTATCTGTCGGCCAGGAAGAAGACACTGTAATCTCTTCTGTAATTCCAGTGAAATGCCACTTAGGTATCGTTTATCTGCAAAATATGAGAATACATGCAATCAAAATAACAATATTCCCATAATCCAGAGCTGTCAGTGTGGTTGAAACAGCATGCATGTTTGCCTCATATACATTTATGTCATATGGCAGCTAATATGATCATAAAATACTTCCAGCCCAATCTTTTACTCATTTTCTTTTTAGTTTTGTGTTGTATCCATCTTAAGTTTATTATTCTTGTTAGTGCATTTTCATTACAAACAACGCTGGGCAATAACTTTGTTTTTACTATTGGTTTTATTACAAAACATCATTAACACAAACATCTGAGGATTAAAAGCCATAACAGATACACAGGAAACAAATACGGTTTTTACGACAAAACATTTCTCTTTCTACAAAAACATGCACAGAATTTACTAATACAAAGATTATCATACAGCCAAATACAAGTTATAATCATATCCCAAGTTAGTTCTTGCAGTATTATTTATGGCGTGTCCCTTCTTTGTGATCCAGTGAAGGAGTTCATGCTGATCCAGCAGCTGTACTCGAGAAGAAGAAACAGAAAGGGACACATCCTCAACTAACAGGACCAGCTAGCAGATCACGCTTCACCTGCTTTAGATTATCAACTGGAAGACACAAAGATGCAATAAATATTTTTAAATGGTCCCACACCCAGAATATGAAACTATTAACACATATTCTGTCCATGTGACCATTATCTCAAGTACTAGTAGTATATATCTATACAATATCTTATATATTGACATCTTGCCCTCCTTGCTCTCCAGTTTCTTAGTGATAACATACTTCAAAAGTATCTGTGGAGTGATTATTCTACTGCAGTAAAGGCAGATCTAATCAAAATCACTTCTATCTTGTGATGATTTTTATATGTAGCATCATGAAATTTCAGAACTGTAACATTTTGGAGACTGAACATATCACCCAGTTCTCATGTTAAGATGTCTGTAATCAGTAAAATGATTTGTCTGAGGGGCACGTTCATACCAGACTCATACTTAAATGCCACACTTGAGGTCTAATTAATTACGCTTGTGTTTCCCAGGCATTCCTTGTAGTGAATAAAGAGTCTGACTAATTTCCCAACAACTGAATTTCTTTAATTAATTACACATGGCAATTTAGACTATTTTGATATCAAACAAGCCGACTGGAAGTTGTATATGAACCTTAAAGTAGTAGTTTTAATGTCATATGTTGTTTATAAATCATCAAAAAATTAAAACAGTTGCCAAAGCAGCAAGTCAGTACTTGTGACTTATTTCAACAAATCTGAAAATATTCACTCGATGCTGATTTATGTTTTGACATTTCATCTTGTGTCTGGTGTGTGTGATTTGTGAGATCAGAGTCTTTGAAGAGTTGAAGCTAAACATTTCCTGACATGCAAGTACATTTCTGCCCCGCTGTATCAACTTTAAAGTGCTGGCTGTTGTCCTGAAGCCATTAATGGCAACAGCAGAAGGGCGACCAGTGCTCCCTGTCCCAGCCTGTGAGCTGAATCTGGTTCAAACAGACCCATGCAGCGAATGATGTGTACTGATTGGAACTTTTTTAAATAACAAGGGAAATCACTGCCATAATGCTGATTGTTTTGGCTATACACACCGCTGATGCCACAGGGGATGAAATTTATTTTGTTTAAATTTGATGCACCATTTTTGCAATAAAAAGCAAAACGTTTGGCTGCAGTACCGCGTGGCTTTAGCTACACCAAACTACTCCGTACATACGTGAGAAAATGTTTTAGTTTTTGTCATCAAATGAAGTAAAAAATCCAGGACCATGCCAGCTCATCAGTAGTTTGTCAAGTTAATGACAATCCTCTTTTAAAGTCTTAAAGGCAGCTACAATGAAGCCAGTGAGGATTAGAGCCAAAATTTATGTAATGCTTGAGGTATTAGAAAAAAAAAAAAAAAGGGCCAACAGTTATTAAATAATTTGCTATGACATCATTTTTCATTTAAAAACATTGCAGCAATTTGTGAGCAATCATACAGGGTCAGTTGTTTGGTTGTAACTGTCAATCATGTGCAAGAATTCCTAGAGGGATGAATTTACAAAGGTGTTCAAACACCACTGTATCTAATTTCTTCAACTATTTCCACATAGCTCCCCGTACACATATACATAGAATCCAAAGGCTATTTCACAACACCGCAGCGCATGAGTAATTGTGAAACAGAGCAGTTCAATCATTCATCAAATTCTATATATCCCCTCCAACAAGGAAAGCTTGAGCCCAGGCGCCCAAAAAAATATGCTACTTATTAGAGACAAATAGCATATTCCACCTCGCCAGATCCAAAGACATGAATGCTAAAGACTCTGCTGGGTGCTGAAGTTGGCTCGTGCAAAAGGAAAACAGTCAGAAACACATTCCAAAACAGTCCAGGGACAGAATAACCTAACTGTGGGAGAACACGACAGTCAAAAATGTGAGAGGAAATTAATCGAGTTTGAGGGGAAAACTTCAGTTGTACTGATGTTTGGAGGGAAGGGGTCCAAGTAGGGTTGCTTGCAGGGTCAGGTTTTCTAAAGGTGTTCCAGCAGGAATGTCAAAGAGACAACACAAGAGGGGTTCAAGAGAAACACGATCCAACATTGATCATAACTTATGATGTATTAATTGATAGTAGAGCATTCAAGTCATCAACAGAGCAGTGAGAGAATAATGAACCGTGCCAACATGTCATCTATATTATGCTGCCATCTTGTGGCAAAGTTGTGCCAATACACATTTAGCCCCTGCAGAATTATCTTTAAAAAAAACATCTCACAAGCCTTCTAATGTAAGTAACAAACAATGGTACAGATAGAGTGTATTTAAGAAGTAAATTAACGTGGTTGCTGCTTTTGACAACCACCCTGAACTCAGATGCATTTCTGAGTGTGATCATTCACTCTGTAGTAAACAATATCTGCCCAAACCAAAACAAAACACATGTTCCCAGGAGTGTCTCAATATAAACTAACATAGTAAGAGATTGGCAAGGGCTATATTACAATTAAAATTGATATCAAAGTCTTGCCTGCAAATTTGAGAGCATAAACATTTATAAAAAATAAACATTGCGAAAAACATAAAACCCCTTTGAAATGTCTCCTTACTTTTAGGAGGATATTGAGCTTGGGAACAAAGAACCCTGGGAGTGTAGTTTCACTCCCATTTTGTTGGCCTTATGTGCTTTTGCCCCGCAGATAAACATTATTAGAGCTGAAACAACTGCAACTAATTTGATAATCTAATTAACAGTCTGAGCAAAAAATGCAAAACATTTGCGTTAAATGACAGCAGTGTGAATATCTTTGGATTTTGGACTGTATGTTCGACAAAATAACCAATTTGAAAACATCATCTTGAAACCTGGGAAAGCATGACAGGCATTAATATATTTCCTGAAAACAAACCAAACTTTTTTAATGAATCGAGAAAATGATCAGCAAATTATTCAATTCTAAACATAATGGTCAGTTGCAGACCTAAACAATATGCTACTAAAATATTCATACCTGACGAGTGACAAAAAACAAAACATCACCAATATCACGACTAACAACTAATCTTTTCATATATATAAAACTGAATATGAAAGATCATAATTTTATCTTACAATATATACAGTACAAACACAATGTAGTGAGCGATGACAGATTGCACTCTTTCCAGGATACGGTACTGATTGTTTCCTGTTTGTTTCTAAACTACTGATATTAATAGTCTGAATGCAAGAAAACCCCGGAGGGCCAGAGGTGACAGTGGATGTTAAAGAAGTTTATGCTACAGAGTCACTGGCTAAAGCGTGTGTGTGTGTGTGTGTGTGTGTGTTAAAAAAAAAGGTCAGTGTTTTTTGTTTTTTGGCAACCATGTTGCCCAGAATTTGTCAAAACAAAATGCCTAAGTTTACAGTGTAAAACTCACAATGACAACATTGCATCCAATGTCATCTAAGGCCTATAAAAAGCTCTGTATAAGGTTCTGTCATGTTGGGGAAAAATAAAGTTTTTACATTTAATCAAAGTCAGTGCATAACAGCAAATAGTTAATGTACAGTCCACACAGTTCAAAAATAAAGACCAATAACAGTAATCCTCCTAAAATGGACAGAAGACTGAATCCCAGTTTCAGTAAAAGGCCCAACTTCCAGTGATTGAGCTGTAGTCCATTTGCACTTTACAAGAACCAGTGACAAGTACCAGTATTATCCACACTGGGAACAATCCAGTAAAGAGAGAAAGGTTTTCTCTTCAGTTCACAACACTTCATTGACATGTGCGTGGCTCTGCCCATCTTCATCGGCCTCCCTTTGAAGCTGCTGGTACTTTCTTTTGAAAAATCCAAACTAGAAAGAGATATTACAGCATAAATATTGTCACTTTTTCTGTAAGAATATGTCCATAAACACTAATGTAATGACTTGGTTAATTAGTTAATAAATAGGTAGATTGGTGATCAAGATTTACTTTTAATCTAAAGGCAAAAAGCTGAACATTTCTATGAAAGCACAGACATGTGTAGACAGACACGTACCTTCCACAGCAGTCCAACAGCCAGAGCCAACAGCAGCAGTCCGGCGATGATGCTGCCAGCTATCACTCCCACTGGAACATCACCCTTCTCTCCAGGTTTACTGACTGTCAGCACCACCTGGACAGGAGAGGTCATTACATGGTCTGTCTCACTCAGATATTGCATGAACAAAAAAATAAAAAAGGGATTTAACACATTTTGTTTCTGATTTTTGCAATGGCAGGATTAAATCACATTTTGACATATGACAGTTGTTAAATAAATAAAATAAAAAATGTGTTCACTGTCATAACTCTCTTCCTTATTCGGTTTCTTTACATGAATTCAAATATTGAAATGTGATCTTACTGGTAGCTCTTTGAGGCCGATAATGAGCAGATCAGGGTTGGAGGTCTCAACGTTAACACTGGAGGTCAGCTCAATGGTCTGATAGGAGGCCTACAATGACATTTATACAAATCAGATCATGAAAGCATCGTCATTAATTCATTAATAAGCAACATAAGAAAATGAAAGGTAATAAAAGCAGACAAAATAACCAGTACTTTAAAAATTCATTGAATACATTTACCGAGAGAAATGTGCCACTCCAGATCCTTGTTTTAACTTTCACAAAGTAGGCGCTCTTAATTTCAGTGTCTTTGAGGATGCATGTCATATACTGGCATTTTGCACTCTTGCAGTCCTGTCAGTGAAACAAACATTAACAAAAGGAGATGAGCAACACTGAATTGCAGTACAAACACAATTTTAATTTCTTCTGCATGAGGGTTATTTAAAAAACAAATACGTATATTCTGCTATAGATATTAGTTAAACTTGAGTTGCGCTGTTAAATGCGTAGACTAAATTTAGGGGTATGAAATACATTATAATATAAATACAATATAAATTGAAATAAAGTATTATTTGAAAATACTCAACACATAAAACATAAAATTCTAAATAACATCTGTATGTGCAGGTTATAGCTTCATATTTGATGTGATTTTATAAAACATAAAAACTAGGCGAAGTATGCATCAAATCACAAATACACAAGAATATGATAAAATCACTATCATCAATATTTTATTATGTTAATATATTACAGATTCAGATTCGTGCATTGCTAGCTTCTCTAATATACAAGTGAAAATGCTACACATCCTAAGGAACATTAAGAAAGTTAATATAGAAAGAGAAAAACATGCAAAACGATTAGTGACTGACCAGCTTATCTATGCCTCGGAGGTTCTCCTCAGAGAAAGACTGTTTGTAACTCTTTCCACTGATCTTCAGAGGATCCACCAGGCCGCTGGAATCACAGCTGATAGAATCTCCCTACAGGTGGAGAAGCCTAATGTCATTTATTGTATAGATGTCACATTTCTACTCAGTGGGTCCCATCCTGGGGGTCCCAACCCAGACTAAGGATTGCCAAAGATTCAGAGGGGGGTTGTGAAGCCTTCTTGATTTTGAAGTTTGTAAGAAAACTTAAAAAAGTATTTACAGTAAGCCTATATGTCAGAATTTCTTTCTGAACATTTATTTTTTAAGAAATCACTAGTTTTACACAAACCTCCTACTTTAATTGTGTTTCACTATTTTTTATCAATTGTCCTGTACAATTATTGTCATGCATTGAATATGAACTATCCCTAAAATATGTCACTTAGTCAGGGGTCTTCAGTTAACTCAGTGATGGAAGAGGGATCCCCTAAAGAAAAAGGTCAGGAACCACTGCTCCAAATCATACAGTAAATGTGAAAAAAGGAAAATGTACACAGCCTGACTTAGGAAATCTGAATTTGTGGGGGCTATGAAGCAGTCTGAATCAATCTAGAACAACATCAAGTTCATGGTTGCCATCAGATCACCACCAACTCCTGTCAACTCAGTTAAACACTGTATGTTACTGTATATAGAATTGCTTGAAAGTCTATAATATTTGAATTACAGGTGTAAACAGAGACATTTATGAAGTAAAACAGTTTTTAAACTCAGTAAAAAAGTTGCTGGTATTTGATACAGGCACCAGTACTCACTTGTGTGTCCACATTGGTAACATAGAGGAGTGGGTTTCCACCTTTAGTGGTCAGCGGCAGAGCAATGGTCAGATACAGGAGGTTGACAGGGAAGTTACTTGTTGAAACCTTTGAATACAATTTGTTTTAATAAATATATGTTATAATAAATATAAGAAATTAGATAATGATATTTTAAGAGACGGATTAATTTAATGCACCTTCACTGTAAAGTTAAATTCTGGGCCGATGTCATCTAGAGTTTTCACCGTTACCACTGGAGTGGCAGCATCTGCCACGTAGAAATTGATATTTGACTCCCTAGGACAAATAAACCATAAAAAATTATACTTTAATGCATTTCCCATTGTCAACTGTCAATCTTGCAATACATGACTTAGTTTATAAAAATACTGTTACAGTAACATAAAGTAAAATCACCTAGACAGAACAATCCCCGCATCATATCGAACAGGAATGGATATGTCCACCTTGTTGTCTGCAGGTCTTTCCTCTTTACCATCACTGTTAAGAAAAAAAGAATCAGAACATTATTACACATAATAATTAATATGAATTAAGATTCACCATTTTTAAATTGAATTTTAGTGAATTCAGTGTACCTCTTGGCCTCAAATTTCACCTCAGCTTTGTTTTCCAGCTGATTGAAATTGTAATCAAAATTGATCTGAAATTTTATCTGTAATGAAACATGATGTTTTACATTACTCACTGTAACAACAAATACATTTGTAAATCAATATCAATTCAAATAGTTGAGTAGGTAAAAAATATTTTATTGCCTGCACTTACCTCTTGGCCTGTTTTTAAAGCTGGGTATCCCACTTGGCAAGTGACAGTTTGAGTTTGTGTTGAGGTGCATTTGACTCCATCCGTCTGTAAATGTTTAATTCAGAATAGTACATAACTGCTATGTGGCTTTGCTACAATGACAATACATAAATAAATATCAAAGAACATTTAATACACTTTACACTCTTTTTTTCTGTCTCAGTAAATGTTCAAGTATGGGTTAGATTAACTGAAAAATTTGTTTAATGATTTATGGTGATGCATTTTATTTAGTGTATGTGTATGTATGACATATATTATTATGTTGAAATTTCTGCCTAAAAAGTCTATTTAAGGACAAGTATATGACTTTTTCCACATTAGCATCATGTCAATTAAAACGGCTTCTAATGGAGCCTTTTTTCACTCACTTCAGGAGGAAAGACGGAGGAATAGTAGAGGTTGCTGGAGAACGTGGCCAACACCTGAGTGTTGTATGCGTTCTCCTTTTTATTCTTCACAACAACTTCAAATGACAGTTCTCGGTTATTAGTGCTGACCAAAACGGGAGCTGAGCTGCAACACAAGACCTCAGATTACTGCACTCTGTATATGTCACGGATTAACGGACCAATCACAGTATGAGTATTGTGTAATTGACTAGAGGGATAGAAATCATATGTAATTAAAGTGATCTTTCCCCCATTACACCAAAAGATGGGACCTATTGTGAGCTGTTATTCACATTGGTTAAAAGCAATTATGAACACTATTGTGTTGACTTGCGTCTTAAAATGCACAATCCAGGAACAAATTGCCTTCTTTAAAGACAAAGAAGCACAAAAACAGGCATACACTACAGCCAAGTCTACAAAAATAGAAATCAATAGCAGCTGCTTGTAATATGGGAAAGTACTTTAAGAAGTCTTGTATGTTCTCTGTGAAGTCCTTGTTCATATCCTTTCATCCAAGTTAATTCACAGAGCATGTATAACACAAGTTTATTCCAAAGCTCACAAGTCTGAACCAGCCATTTTATGGGCTATGAAGTTGCTGTATAAACTGGAAAACTCTAATTTGTGCAGCTATTAGCAATTACAACAGACTCATAAAACAGAAAAAATAGAAAATGCTGTAATGGTTGTTAGGAGTTACCAATGCATAACATTAAATAGAGGATTACCCATTTTGCCAAATTTGGTGTCATCTTCACACAAATCTTTCTTCCCTGTTATATAAATGTGTACAATATTAGAGGCTGCCTTTATGTGCAGAGGTGGAAACTAACGATGTAAAAATACTTTGTTACAGATTTTTACTGACATTTTCAAAACAGATTTGTTACTTTAGTTTTAATGCATTTGAGGGGAATTATTAATTATTATTATCATAATTTATATCATTGCACACCTTCCAAACATCTAGACCGGTGCATATTACACATGACAGATTGGGCTACATACCATTGGGCTTTTCTTTTTTACACAAATATTACTACTTCTACTTCAGTAAAGAATGTGTGTACTTTTACCACCTCTGTATATGTGGGATAACAACCTTTTCACACTTCTAGAAAAATACACGCAGGTACAGATCAGTACATAGAAAATCAGTCTGACTCACAGTAAAGAAAGACTTGCCTGAGCTTGTTCTGTCTATATTGTTTTTACTTTAATTTAACAACAAATCACGTGAAACCATGAAACAGAGCACATCCTGTCTTTACTTGAAACCTGTATATATCTGATGCTGTATATTGTATATGTATTGGAGAGCAAGTATGATATGTATCTTATACCCCTGAGGCAGATCAGTAGTTCTCACCTGGACGCCTTTGTGTCTGTCTTTGCACTTAGCACCAGATCACTGACACACACGTCATCAGAGCCACAGTCTTTTGTGAAGGGGATCTGAAACAATAACAGAGCAGGATGCTGCTTTATTCTTCAAAGGTTGTATTTTCAATAGATGTCTCTTCTCTTATAATCTCCTTAGATTTGTAACAAACATACTATAAAGGAAATGTATTATATTTCTACTGCAGTGGAAGTACTTTAGTCTTGTTGGGAAAACACATAGTGTGTAAATCTGAGTACTTGCGTGATGTTATGAAACACTTTAGTCTTAAAAGCCAGTAATCATCACGCACACACACACACACCATATAATTTTAAATGACTGAATAGTAGAAACATTTCTGCAAGATAACAGCTTCGCCTACAGTCTTATCACCTGATCTGTTTCCTGTAGATTTAGACCACAGGCAAAAAAAACATTAATACAGATTTATAGATATCATGTAGTGTTTGTCACTTACAAAAAACTCCCAGGCACTTGGAGAAAACATATCGAGGACAGGGTTCACATCTGCATTTTGCTGCTCGATTTCTACTTTCAGACTGAGGGAATTGACAAAGTCTGGTGCCTCCTGTTAAAAAAAGCACACGTGATACTATTTTGAAAAAACACATTTGAATATCTCTACAAGCCTTATCACACGAGGGTACTCACATAAATCACCTCACACAACTGAATCATTGAGAGACACAAGATGACTTTCATCCATTACCTGAACATAAACCTGGTAGTCTCGACACAGTGGCGCAGATGATATTTTTGCCTTTTCTGTGAGGAAGCGCTCATTGTTCTGTGTGAACAGTCCTCTTGATGTCACTCGTGAAGCCTGCAAGTCAGCATCCAGAGTCAAAGTATAGGATATATCTGAAAGAAGTGAAAATATACTGTATATGACATACTCTCTGACACGTGAGTGCAATCATTTCTTTCTTAAAAATAATTTCATGGGATTCTATTATCTTTAAGGAATAGTTTTGTGCAATACACCTATTTGATTTCTTGCTGAGAGTTAGATTATAAGATTGATACCTTGATAGGTTGTAGTAATATTCTGTTTATTAGCACTTTTTCTTTTGTTTCTTATTAAATCAGTCCTAAACACAGTACTTCTGTCTGCTGACATGTTTGTATGAGCAAAATATAATGTATCCGCTGGTATTGCTAATTATGGCTAACCTGGCTAGAGCTTGGTTTAGCCAAGCTACCTGTTTCCACTGTTTCGAGCCTTTGTGTTAAGCTAAACCAAGCAGCTGCTGGCTGTCGCTTAATATTGACTGTACAGACATGAGAGTGGTATTGCTCTTCTCATCTAACGCTTGGCAAGAAAGTGAATAAGTGTATTTTCTAAAATGTTTAACAATTTAAGTAACAGAAATCGGGCATCCTTGAGAAGCCTAACAGGTAATCAGATTTACCAATGGGTCCAACGGGGTTCTTGGGCCTGAATGCAGCACTGAAACAGAGGTTGGCGGTGAAACATGTAAGCTTGCGTCCAATAATGTCGCAGGGTTTGTTGAAAATGTTGATTTTATTGGGGTTGAAAGACGCTTTAGCGGTGACAGACGCAACACCTCTGGACCTGAAAATCAAGTGCAAATTTTCATTATTAACAGCCAGATATTACCAGATATAAATGATTGGTTCATTTAGTGAAGTTATTTCAGGTTATCTTCATCATTCCCATATATTGTGATGATTGTGCTATTAAACTTACCAAAGCTGCACCACTTTGCCATATGCACCAATGGAGATGTCAGGGATTGTATCACCATTAAGATCTTTGTAGCTATCTAGGGACCTTCCAAAATACTGCAATTGAGGATCCAGTTTGGAGCCAAGAATTCTCTGAAAAAGATGATAAACAATAATCATCACTCTCATTATTTCATTAACTAAATGTATATTCATCATCAACAGAGAATTTAGCTCCAAATTCACTTTTCAGTCAGAAATTAAACACAACAGATTCTCTCCATACCTGTGAGAACTGTTGCTTTAATGTCTCCTTCTCCCCATTGTAGATGTAAATAACACCTTTTCCTTTGTCCTCGAGGGGGGCTCCAACAACAACATCATTGTAACCATCGAGGTCCAAGTCAGGAACAGCAGAGATGGCCATCCCAAAACGTGCGTTCTCATTTGAGGACGGACCATTAAGGAATCCCTGCTCGTTCAGTATACCCTTCAGAAGAGAAAATTATTAGAAATGAAATATATCACGTTTGAGAATCTCTTACAGTACACCCACTTTTCCAACAAACCTGTGCTGACTTTCTAAGTCATGAAAGGAAATGTAATTATATAGGATGTCTCTTCATTATGAAACACTGACTATCCTAATGCATCAGTGTGAATAGTGGTAATCATGTTCACTGTTTCTCAGAAAATCCAGACCACAAAGTGTTACTCTAAAAGTAAAATTTTTACCTTGGTGACAGAGAAGAGGTAGACCCTGCCTTCTTCTCTCTTCAGCTCGCTCATAAACATAGGCGCACCAACCAGCAGGAGGTCTGTCACCCCATCTCTATTCACATCCAGGGAGCAGAGCACGCTTCCAAAGTATGACCCAATCTAGGACAACAAAAGACAGGTTTTTACTGACGATCAATTACATTTGTAAACATTAGGTTCTTGGTGGAAAATGTGAATACCATATTCTCTAATCTCATACCTGTTTCCCTCTTTCTGAATCTATGATAGCAGATTGCTTCTGGGCGTTGACGGTGTAAACGATAACCTGTCCAGAGTGGTTGGAGCGAGGTGCACCAGCTACAAAGTATTCTGTAGGCCCATCGCTCAGTGTGGTGACAGAGTAACCTGGAAATAACCACAAGTAACACATTTAAAAGTTGATATAGTACATTATAAAGTAAATTTGATCAAATAATGTACTTAAGTAGATTTTTGAGGTATTTGTACTTTACTTGAGGATTTTCTTTTAAATATGATGCATTACTATTAATTACACAACTAAATTATAAAAAATATCTTAAACTATTATTTTCTCTGCCTCTACAAGCTACTATATTAAAATGCTGCTTATAAATAAATGCATCAATAACATATGAAAACAGTGACAGGCTCTACTCTGCATAACTAATACTTTTACCTTTGATACTTTTAGGGATACTATTTTTTTCTGACTTGTTCTGACATACTTGTGTACTTTTACTTAAATATTTTTAATTGTAACATAGTATAGGTCTATACACTGCAATATTACTACATTTACATAAGTAGGCAATCTGAATGCTTCTTTCACCACTGTACTTAGACCAGCCATTGTAACACAGTGCCAATGCAGAAACATGAGTGTGAAAAAGACCAAATCATTGCATAAGGTCTGTGGTATACATACTGTTTCTCAAAATATTTGTAATATAATTATTGCAAGTTTGTGGATTCTCTGAAAGCCATTGAAACAAAAAGCATTATAACACATATTTTAAGTTAATTTAAGTTTTGAAAATGCACCAGAGTTATCCTGACAGTCACCACAAGGCGCCATCGTGAATATCTACTTATACTGTATATACCACTGCTGTGTTTACACTTGTATTACCAGCTCAGTGAACATCTCCATTCCTTTATTGTTTCATCATCAAGTAACAGAAGCAAAATGTATAATAGAGTTGGTCAAATAAATCCAGATGATCCAATGCTTACCCAGTAATGAGCTGTGGTTCCTGTCTTGAAGAGTTCCTTCAAAGGCTGAGAAAGGGAGAATGTCTACTATTGACCCTTTTTGATGGACGACGGTCCCGCTCCAAGCATAGGCTCCCACTGCTCCCAGCATCAGCACATCCTTAAACAGCCCAGGCCAAAGACCAATTAACAGACATCATATAATACACAGCATTAATATTCTGATCTGTCTTACAGACTGAGCTTCTTGAACGCATAACCTGAAGAAATAGCGTGACATAACATCATAACAGACTGTACGTTACTGTGAACACTATGAACATAGAAAGATATCTAACTACCAAACATTCATAATTATACAAAAGAATGACAGTATAGATCTATATACTGCAATATTACTACATTTACATAAGTAGGGAATCTAAATGCTTCTTTCACCATTGTAATTGACCAGCCGTTGTAACACAGTATCAATGCAGTAACATGAGTGTGAAAAAGACCAAACCATTGCATAAGGTCTGTGGTATACATACTGTTTCTCAAAATATTTGCAATATAATTATTGCAAGTTTGTGGATTCTCTTGAACTTGAACCACAAAAAGCATTCAGCAGTGTAAGGGATTCTGTGATCAGCTTTATAGTCACTTTAAATTTTGCTAGCTGTTGGTGGTTACTCAACAGTATTTAATTATTATAACATATTTTCATAGCTTTGATTACAGAACTGGTGGCCAGTGGTGTGTATGTCTGTACTTTAGACAAAGTATTTGTGTGGCAGGATCTACAAAACCGAAGGATAGTCTGGCAAACACTCATGCATCAAGTACAAACTCCTGTGTAATGCCTTGGAATCAGATAAGCCTTCAAATTACACCTCTGTTAGCATATTTCAAACGTCCCACAGCAGTGTCTGAAAACAGCTAAACATGTGAACTTACTTTGTCACAATTAATAGAAAAGTGTTAAAGCACTCTGTACCTGTTGGCTGGAGTAGTGAGCGCTGAATCCCACCTGAGACATCTCCATCTTGAAGTTATCACCCCCTTTTCCAGTGCCTGGCAGGGACAGACCATTGTGTAAAAATCAGAATCAACAACAGAGGAGCAGATCAAGAATCATTCTTGGGATGCTCAGATATGACAGATGTGTTGTGACATGTCTAGATGAGTTCCTTTGAAAACGAGCATGAATGAATATGCAGTAAGTAAAAATAAATAACATTCACCTTCTATGTTGAAGATGCGGTTCCCCAGTGCTCCAGCGATGGTGGAGAGGGCTGCCTCTTCCGACACATTGAAGAAGTACTTTTCTGTGGGTAAACTGGCAATGGATTTGATTTCTTTTATCAGGTTTTCTGTGTTGATGTTGTTTCTGATGTAATAACCCAGCACCTAAAAAAAGAGTGCAAAGACAAAAAAAAGATGTCTAGGTAATACACTGGCACATCAAAACCTCGAATTAATCAGAAACGTGGAAAATGTAAAAAAGTTTAGGCAAATGAATTTTACAAAGCTACCCAATGTTATGCTATCAGCAGGCATCACATCTCATTATCTACAATAATAACTATAAAGATAACTTGAAGTATAAATCATTACCATAAATTATAAAAATGTTCTAAGTAGTTGGAAGCTAAAGCTGTATTTCTGGTTCCATCTCAGCATCAGAACCCTTTAATGAATCCACACAGTGGAACTTTGTGATTAAAATCAGGAAAATGAAGCTTAAACCTGTGACTTGGTTTATTGAGTATTGATCTAATGTTTGTTTTATGTTTGTACATGACACGATGAGAGTAAATAGCAAATCATCGCTTACAGCAATACCAAAGCGAGTGATGCCTTGTTTCTCACAGTCGGCAATGACCGTATCTCTGAAAGCCTCGTCGTGAGACTCCCCATCAGTGACGACTACCATCACCTTGGCAGCGCCTGGTCGAGCGCCGTTTTTTGGATTGAAACCCCACTGACTTGAAGAGAGCACACACAGTGGAACAACATCAAAATAATTATTCAGTCCTGATCAGTTAATAATAAAACAGACCAGACGGATAGAGAGAGCAACATACAAATTATAAGAAAAACAAGACACCAAGCAAGCAATCAAATATACATTATAAGTAAATAAACACATGCAAACATAAAAGGCAACACCAACCTGGCATACTGGATCGCATGGAAGGTATTGGTAGAGGAACCATACATTTGTGCGATTCCGGATGTTGCAGCTATCATTTCATCCTTGGTTTTATACTCGTTCAGTTTGAATTCAAACTTGGGATTAACTGCATACTGTATGACGCTGACCTGGCATAATAAAGAACGGCGTGAAAAAAAAGCAAAGACAGCTGTCAGTAATGACCACAAGGAGAAAAAGATTATCCCCTGCTTCATCTCTGCCTACATTTCCTTTTATGGCTACCTGTGTGTTTTGGGGTCCGATGTCGAGCGCAGGTATTAATTTCTGGAGGAACGCGGTCATTGGTTCCCAAGGATAAATGCTGTTGGAGCCGTCCAAAACAATCACGATGTCCATAGGCCCTCCACATGCTACAAAAGTCATGAGAAGAGACATCATAAAACATTTAAGGAGCATTCATGAAAGGAGCTAAGGTCATACCCTTCACGTTACTGCTGAACATTTTCTGAAGCTTACTATTATTATTTATTTTCTAGCTTCCATGCAGCTGGTTTCAGTTAATGGCAATTAAATATAAAAAAAATTGAGAGAATTGAGCCTTGTTGCCTTTTTTTATTTGTTAAATTACATTAGTATGTGGTTACATGGCTGCAAGCAGAGACACCTTCTTGTTGGTGAGTTGGGAATTGAGAGCTGAGGAAAAGCTGAGCACTGACAAGCTATGATGTAAAACAAAATTGAACCCAGAAGACGAATAATAACTTTGGAAAGAACAATTCAAACTTGGCCATGTCTTGCATTAAAAAGGTCGCTGTTTAGTAAACCAACTATAAAATCTATGATGTTACAGTTTCCACAACAAAATGGTCGCTGACGGCATAACAGGGTGACGTAGCATGACATAACATTACAACAGAATATACGTTACTGTGAACACTATGAACGTAGAAGTATCTAACTACCAAACATCCATGATCATACAAAAGAATGACAGCTCTTACTCTGGACAGCAGGAGAAAAGGCGGGTTGAGGTTGAAAGAGGGGGTTCAGTTTTGCACATATTCCTGGGTAGAAGTCCTGATTACCACACTTCTGTCCCCAAAGAGGACCACACATCTGTATTGGATGTCCACAGAAAAAAGAGAAGAGACTTAATGGAAGTGAGCAAACTACAAAAAAAAAGGTCATCTGGGAAACGACAGTTACCACTGTAACCAGAGATGTCTGCTTTATGATACAAAAAGGCTTATTGAGATACCAGAATAATGATATTTTGTCACTACCTTTAAAAGCTCCCAGTGAGCTCTTATGTCTGAGTTCAAAAATGAATTACATTGTTGTTAATTGTACATTCAACTCATATGCTGAATAAGTGTTTTTTTGTGGTAAATAACAACACATTGAAATTGTGCAGTGTCGTGCAGTGCAGTTATTTTGAATTACTTTCTGTTGCAGAAACCAATTTAGCTAAGCCACAGGCACACTTCCTTCCACCTTTAAATAACATTTTAATGTAAATTTTTTAGGAAGTCATGATTTAATCGGTTCATGGCACACTGCTGTGTCGTCCATGCGTGTCCATCTTGTGACTACAATATTTCTGACAGCACTTTAAGAACGTGTTATGCATCCAGATTAATAACAGAAACACAAGAAACAGATTTATAAAATATCTGTAATATTTTAGGTTAGAAAGTAAAAACATATTTTTTTGCACCCCTCTTTCTCTGAAACATTAACTGGTACATTAACTTTTTTGTCCACCGGCCAAATTCAAATTTTACCAGCCAATCCACTGTTCATATTTTACCGACATTTGGCTGGCGTTAATTTTGTGCCATGCTCTGAAAGAGCATGATTAACGTTCTATCTTTGGTGTGAAAGCAGACACAAATACAAACACACATACCATCAAACCATCTGCAGGCATCCGGGTAAGAGTCAGCCCGAGGCACATATTATCGATGGCGTTTTTAACATTTGGAATACTGACAGAGTCTGTGGATAAAGACAACAAATTAGCTCTTACATTAAAGTTCAGATTATAGTTGTTAAATCTGAAATGTATACAATGTGTATAACTATCATAAGCTGAAAGTATAAATAAAATACATGCTTTGCTATAATATACTGCTGGTGACGCATCTTTCAGTGCGTGTTTAGGCACTTTAAGTAAGTTAAAGTGTTAGGAAGTTAACATGGCCAATGTTTGGCAGAGAGGTCAAAAGCTAAATAATAAAACCCCAAACCTTACCTTGAAGATTGAGCTTGTCACAGCTGTTTCTGGACCCTGAGACTGGACACTTGTAAACATCCCCCTTCCTGTTTCGACTGAAACCACTCCATGGAGCACTAACCAGGAGCCTACAGAAAACAACAATATTCATCTCTTCCACACTTGCATAAACATGTACCGTAAGTCTTTGAATGTTTGTTGTGTACAGTATTTTATCCAAATGATTTGATGCTGACAGTGGTTACAGAATTTCGGTCTATAGATGTTAACTTGCGGTTGACAAAGAACAAAAGTAACTTCACTACTTTAAATATATGTTGAAATAAAACAGGAATCAAACTTTACTGCAGTAACCTCTGGGCCAATTGTTATACAAAAAATATACATCAATATCCGTCAGTATCATTGTAGCTGCGAGTTTGAGTGTCAAGTCATATCATTTTTCTAACCTCCTATAAAACAGCAAACAAGATTCTACAAGTTCACACAGAAGATATCCACTTCAAACACATTTTCCCCACATCACAGCATTCAGACACTGCTTGTTGTTGTTGAAGCTGTAACTTAAGACATTTCTCAAAATCCAGAACAGCCAGTAATAAAAAGTATATAAGTCCCAATACTGCTGTAAGGCTGACCCTAAATTCGACATAAATGCGGCATTTTCTCACCATGTCAAACACAGCACGCTAAGCGGGACACATCATTCTTATTTGTACGTTGTAGGACAGGAAATGGGATGTATCACTGTTTTTTCTCATGATATGATGGTGAAATATACAGTCAGAGATCACCCTGAGATACCGTACACTTCCTCTACGGGACACTCCTCCAGACAGTGAGTTACTCTATGAGACTGTGACTCAGTGTGCAAGATCCAGACATCAATGAGACGTCCAGTTACTGTTTAACTAAATGTCACAAATGAGTGGGACAAAATGTAAGAGGCTTTAAACATGACCAAATTACTTGTTTCACACACAACCATGCAACAATGTATTGCAACATCAACTTATCAGTAGAGATAGACAATATGACAGATATTCGTATCAGTGTCATAAATCCAGTACACTTACCAATTGTTAAAAAATAAACTATGCTAGAAACTCTGTAAAACTATAATTAGCCACATTGGTGCTCCGACATACAGTAAATGCTAATGTCGGTATGCTTCAGTAAAAAACACAAATGTCAACCTCATGGTCACCACCAAGAAGAAAGGTCAGGGGATGAATATCTGTGCAGAATTTCCTGACAATCCATCTAGTAGCCTACTTCAGTGTGGACCAAAGCGGTGGACTGAGCAGCCGACCAACAGACCGGCATTGCCATCCCCAGACCCCAGACTATAAACATGGTTAGAAACAAGTAGTGCTACAACAGTGTTGAAGAGAGGAGCATTTAACAACACCCAACCTCTTAACCCTCGCAGTGCATTAAACAAAAACCATAGCAATTTCCCTCCCTTCAGTTAGAACCAAAATGATACAGCTGAACTGGACACAAATGAAGTGAGATTTTTATTTTAATCACGGTGTCTGGTGCCAACACTGCAGGCTAGCGGTAGTAGTGTGTAACAATGTGGAGAGTTGTTTACTTGCCACAGAATACCTAGACACTGCTGATAACCATGTGTGTCTTTTTACAGCAATAGGCCTTCATTTGCAAAATGGATATTTCTACAAGCAAAAAACTCCACAACGTGACAAAAATGCACCTATCAGTTCAGAGAAAGAAATATTACAGTTGGTGTACACAAACAACTTTCAGAGCCTTGAGATCTCAACCCTGCAAACTGTAGAGCATCTTTGGGATGAGGAACATAGATTTTTTTTGTAATGCACACAATAACAAAACACCTGGTGAAGCAAGCTCCTTGTTGAATCTGGAATCCAGCCTGTTCAGGTGTACAGGCCTGTACTGACAAGGTCTATCTACAAACGTGGCCCACTGAATGTGAATCTGCACTTTTCTTCTTTGTTTGCTCTAACTGCTCTCTCCAACATACGAACAAAATCCTTAAGCGATGACTTAAATTCATACCATTTGCCCTCATGGTTTGTTGCTTGCTGGATTGAGTAGCCAAACTCTTCCGCTGCTGGTCCACTGAAAATCTTGGCTCCTGCAGTGCCAACGTTGAAGGACTGTGAGTGCCAAACTCTGTCAGCTGGTGGAGGAGAAACATAATGGTGCATAACAGTGACAGTGACAGTTTATAACAGCACCTCAATGATCATCATGTAACTCTTCACAGTTGCACCTACGCTAAACACATTACATTATTTTGCAGTTTTGAATTTGTGTGTCTGAAAGTTCAAAACAAAATTAATATCATTATTATTTTTAAAATAGGTTTGAGACTAAGCAACTTAGTCCTGACTTCCTTCCTGAGTCAAGAGGGTGATTTTGGTGGCTGAATCGTGTATGTTTTGAAATCCACATCAGCTTGACTCATGAAACCAACTCAACCCACTAAAAAGCTTTTCAACACTCGAAGGTCACACTAACCATTGAGGGTTGAGGATTGCGTTAATAGAAATTGCTTGCCCCAGAACAGTGTGTTTCTCCATAGACAAAAATCCACCTTCAAACACAGCTCTCTGAACACCCTCAGGACATGAAACTTCCTTGCTTATGAGTGAGTCTTGCTGCAGCAATAGACCCACAAGCCCATACAGGCAGAGCTCAGTGATAAGCCCTGTGTTCCCCTCAATCAGCAGGGACAGGAATGTGGATGGGTACTGGACTCAGGAGACCTTCACTAGCTCTTGCCACGCCTGTTTACCTGCAGCACAAAGTAGCACTTTGGGCTCCGCAAAGCCCCATAACATATTCATATTTCCTTTCAACCAGAAATGGGAATGTCCATATAGGAGAATAATTAAAAGTCTCCTGTCTGGCTGCTGCTTGAAAGCTTCCACAAGTTACAGAGCAGGCATCGCGCAACACCAAATGGCGTGACTTTTCTCCGCTATGATGCACATTAAAACGAGAAATCTGGTCTTATTTATTCCGTGCGGTTTGATAGCAGATTCAGAGGAAGGAGCGCTGCAGGGTGAAGTGAAATCTAATTCAAAACAAACGCTCTTCCAGGCGGATTCATTCAATAAAAAGGACTGCATACTGAGCGTGCACTCCTCTGCTGCTTTTCAGATGTGTTTAAAAGTGTGTGGAAATAGTTAAAGATCACATTCAAAGCTGCAACGAACGACCAATACACATTTCCGAGTCTAATCTTATGAAAGCGATTTAAAACCCCTCGCTATTCGTGGCATGGGTATTATTTTGGATCTTTTAACTCTGGCTGAGGTGATAATGGAAAAAAGAACAGGTTCAAAGTCCAAAAAACAAGTTCAGTACTTACTAATTATGACTGTAAAGAAGAAGATATTCCCCCAGAAGAAGTCCATCGTCGTCTTTATTCCATTTGTATGAGGTGATTAACTGAAGCACTTGTCAAAAAGTTGAGGCAGCGCACAGCGAGTCATCGGTGACGCACCGGACATCCTAAATAAGGACTTGTGTTCTTCCTCTTACCTGCCCATGCAGACTTTGACCAAGTACTATCAAAGGGTGTGAAGTGAAGTCTGCAATAATAAAGTCTGACTGGGCGAAGGAGGTTGGGAAATCCGGTTATGACCATCCCGAAAAAGAGACTCCTACACGCTAATGTCATCTCAAGTCATTTAATGCTTTTAATGTAAAGCTTATACTGAGGTTTTTATTTATTTTTTTTAAAAAGAAGGTTTGAGGCAAATGTTCAAAACAAGCCCACACCCATTTTAATCGAGAAAACTCCAGAGCCACAAAATGGGTGGAAAACTTAAATCAGATGTCAAATAAAAGAATAAACATCATCAACTGTCTCCCATCACCCTATAATTTCTGTAGAGTTATGGTTGAGAGAAGAAAATCTGAAGAAATGTACAATATTAAGAATCTATAAACTTAATCTTATAAACCCAAACAATAGAGTCTATTCTGAGATCTGTAAGGAGACTGAGCCTTCCTTCCTTAACTGGAAAACAATGATGTAAGTGCCTCCATTGGATCATGTGTAAGAGACTGTAAAGTTACAGGGGAGGATGGAGAAAGAGTGGAAGGGCATTTCATTTTAAATAAATGGTTTCATTCCAAAATGCTGTTTTGGAAAGAATGAAGGCTTGTTGCTTGTTGCTTAATACCCACACACATAATGACGTTCACTGATGTCATAGTGATTGGTGAGAAAATAAGTAAAGAGGTAGTGAATGTAAGTGACAAGTTCAATGTCACAGTTAAAGGGATATTGTGCAAAAAGATTTAGATTTAGTGTTCACTGGAACAATGACGTTGTTTTATAATGTCTCCTGGGGGTTTGGAGGGGGAAAATAACCCCAATGACTTCATCTGGGCTACAGATATTTAACAGAAAGCCTGCATTGTGAACCGGGGTTGTGGAATTTAAAATATGTGGGCATTTTCCAGGCAGGGAGAGTCAAATAAAAATTTAGGTTGCATTGTGGGAAATGTAGGATCCAGAGTGAAAGTCGGGACATCTCAGCCTCTGCTGCTACAATATTGACATTTTTAAAAAAAAAAGCAACTTTTGTTTACCTCATTAAGAATCAAGCTGTCTCTCCAAGGACCGCCATGATGACGTTCAACTTCACCTGGAAGCATCCCAGTACAATCCCAGTACAATCCCAGTCTGGTCTCTAGGCCACTGAGTAACTGGGTGTAAAATGCCTTGCTCAAGAGCACCTCAGCAGGGGTAATGAGGAAAAGGGTAAGAACTGTTCTTTTACTTTCCTCTTGTGAGCCCCACAACTGCATAAAACTAAATCAACAGAGCACCTCTTTAACCACGTTTACCAGACAACACTGCTGGTTATAATTAAATTATTTAGTTATTGAACACAGGGTGGCATTGCTTTGAAAGGCTGCTGTTGTCCTAACAGACTGACACTTACTAATCACAGCCTAATTACCTCCCCTTGACTTGGACACAACCAGAGACTGTTCATGACAGTCAGAGCTAATGAGCACAGCAGCAGTTTTTGAGTCTTAAGACTGAAATATTTGTCTGAACTATATATAGGGTGTATATTACATCATTATTTGGTCTAATTAGATTACATTTATTCCATATTACCCTACCATTTCTCTTACAGACAGTTTCATTGTGACTGTCTTGGTGCTTCTGTGTCTTCCTTTCTTAGACCAATGAATGTACTGCCTAGTAACAAAGATACATTAAACATCATTAACATCATCTCCACCCTTCCAAATATGTCACATCAAACCTTAAATCATAGTTATGAACATAGGCGGACCCTATAAGTTGCCAAACTTTATGCTTCCATATTAAACAACCACAAAAATTAATTAAAGGCTTACACTCAAACTTCTCTGTTTAATATGAGGCCTGAGAGGAGTTGTGAGGCAAACCTTGTTCAGATGCCATTGTAACTTAACTCATTTTGACTGATCTGTTCGGTCACCTTGCAGTAAATGATGTGTATCAGACTTCAGTGTCCAGATACACCATAGTCTTTGGGGAAGTAGGTAGGCCACAGACCCACGACCCTCACTGGTGTTAAGTTGATTCACTAGTGTGGGGAAGCCCCGGAAAAAACTATGCCTCATTTAGCAAACCCTATGCCTCCATCCCTTTTGTGCAGTCATGATTCTTGTGTAAGTCATCTGGTGAGCCGGAGCACCTTGAGAATTCCAAGGAGCAAGGTTAAGCATTTGTGTGGAGGTGACGCGGAGCAATTCCTGGAAAAGGCCGGCCTTCTTTCTTTCTTTCTTTCTTTTCTGATGTTTGTGTTTACAAGACTTGCTTTGAAAACTGAACTATTCACTTTTCACAGAAGTTAAAAAGGTAAGAGCAAGAGGATACTGCTTTCTCTAACAGTCCCAAGAGTTTTAGGCAAATAATGCTGAACAGTCTAAGGAAGGAACTTGAAACAGCAAAGCTCATGGTCTATTTTCCTGTCAGGCCCCGACATAATAGAGCAGTGTGCACACGTCATTAAAAAAATCCCCACTGAAGCACATCATGAATCATCTGATGTCGGCCTGGATGTTTGAAGACCATTTATAATCACAGGACAAGCCTTTGTCTCTGTAAAAGAAGTGAATTTCTCACTTGCCTCTTTTGGCATTTTGTCTTTCAAATAGTTTTGGTTTTACTGTATTTCTTCATCCAACACAATAGTGGTGGATTCAATTTATTTTGTGGGGCTCACAGAACTGAACAATTCAAAATATTAACCAGCAACATGTGTACAACATGTCTCCCTGTTACTCTGGATGATCCATACAAAACAGTTTTCATAAGAACTCTCTATGTAAAAAGTTCATAGAAAGGATGTGAACTGAAAAGGGCCTACTCCTTAAAGACACTGCAAGATCTAGTGGATTCTTTTTTAACACAACAGACTTAAATCGAGTGATAGAGATGGCTCAATAAAATGACTCAAAATGTTCTCTACCAAACAGCCGTGTTAGTTAACGGACCAATGTGTAGGATTTAGTGGCATCTAGTTCCTTCACCCAAGTGTGAAGGAGAAACTACAGTGGCTGCAAGACATGTGAAAACCATGAATATTGCCACATATATAGATATAAAAGACTCATTCTAAGCTAACAAAAGTTTAGTTTTTTAGGCAATTATACACAAATGAAAACATACCTATAAATGTTATACTCTCCTTATCCTCCTAAATGTTACACACTGGACCTTTAAATCATCTCCTCTCTGACTAAGCTAAAACAAAAGGTTCACAAAGATATTATATTTTACAGATATTCATGTTAATATCCATTCTCTGTGCTGTATGTTTCAGTATTATTCTGATCATTTCAGACATTTGTAAACCTGTGGATCACCTGCCCGAGCTCCTGTGTCCTGGAGAACGCAGCAAACGTTCCCTCCTGGATGCCCCTTTGGTAGATAAAACATGACAAAGTGCCCTCTAAGGTGTGTTTCACCCGAATGCATCACGACTTTCTATGCGATGGTGCCCTCTTTATTTTTTTCAGTCCTGCTGCTCAAACAACCACCACTGATTTCAGATGTATCGTTCACCGCGGACACAACCAATTTAATGGCCAATGCAAACATAGAATAATTTTCCCAAATCAAAAACATTCCAGCAACACATCCATTGCCTCTCTGATGAAGACATTCCCAAACACTTCTTCCATCTCAGGCTCCATCTCAGGTGATTCAGAGTCACAGATTTTGTCACCAGAGCTTTCAAACAGATATTCTCCCAGGAGGAAAAACACTGCTTTTTTTAGCGTTTTTTGTTAGTTATTTCTGTCTTAAAACCTCATTATACAATATGCAGACATGATACAGTCACTCACAGATATAGTTCTGGGTGAGTGGACTGTAACATGGAGCTAATCCCTCTTTCACACCCATCTGCTGACCAATGGGAATCTAAGGCCCTGGTTTTCCCTGTTGCATTGTGAGCCAGACAGTCACATCCAGCAGGCTCAGAGGGGCTCACGAGTCAATGACTGCACACAGACATGGTTGTAATGTGACTTGTGAGTGAAGTTACTATCCTGTCACATGATGACTGAATCTTTTATTAGATTTGTACAGGTGTATTTCCAACGATCCTCAAGTGAAGAATGCAGTTTATTTGTAAATGTGAGCAAAATGATGCCCTTGTTGAGTTGGCAGCCAGTGGTTTGCAGATAAAGATATCAGCCATGTGCAATGTGCTTCCTCAGCATCCTCCTTATGGATGACACACATACAGCATGCACTTGAATGCTAATAAACATCACTCCTGTTTTCCCAAATAAGGAAAGAACAGAAACATATAACATTTACAGCAGAACATTTCGCTATGATCATTCCTGGGTTTAGATAAAAGCCACAACTGCTTGTTGGCAATAAATTAGAGACAGACTTGTGGGAGAGCGGTCTTTCGTGCACAGTAGGAACAACTGGCACATGCTATTGACTTAAACTCTGACAGTGAAACAATATGCTAAAAACATAATAGCTTTACTTTAAATATGATGGGACAACCACATCAAAGCTTGTTACCTAGCTTCAAGTGATTTTTATTTTTGACACCTGGTGTGTGAGAGATGGGGGTGACACGCAGAAAAGGTCCCAAATAAGGCTGGAACCAGGACTGTTGTGGTTACATGGCATGCGTCTTACGTCATTGGGTCAACGGGATGCCCCAATTTACTGTACCCCTCACAGACATGAAAGAAATATAGACCGTGTCAAGAGTTACAAAGCACAGAAGCGATTTTATTGTGGTTAGAAAAATAGCTGTGTTGTGACATTGAGGTTAGGGCAATGTCATTGTATGACTGTTTGTCATTTTTCTCTAAACTCAGGCAACCACTAAGAATTTTCAAGGCCATTTCGTACACACGATAAGTTTCTGACATGGCAACAAAGACACTCCTTATCTTTTCTTTAGGCTAGAGGGAAAAGGTCTGTCTGAACCAAGGGAAGGGCAGACTCTCGCATT